GGTGCCCAAACACACAGCTGTCCAGTAGAACAGCTGTACAGCACTGGCCTGAGATTCTGCCTGCCTAGCCTGGAGCATGAAGTGCCTAAATGCTCACATTTCACACCTTTTACTCTCAGGAACCTTGTTTCCCAGGGTTGGGGTTTGGGAGGGTAAGTATTGAGTCTGCACAGGCATCTGCCCTGCTGTGAACGTAGCACTGAGGCTGATTCTTGCCCAGGCACCTCTGCTTTCCCCATAGTAGTCTTTGCTTCATCGGTACAGAAGCAACATCATGGAAGCCTTGTCATCTTGGTGCCGTTATGAGTGGTTTCTCCTTCTGGATCATGGAAGAATCCAGGGTTCCCTCACCCTGAGGCTCACACACCAAATTCAGTAGCCCCAAAGCAGCAATAACCAAAATGCCATGAACTGTGGAATGGACATTTGGAGTACAAACAAACACCTTCAGGCCCTGAGAACAAATCCACAATCAACGTGTGTATGAGCCAGAATGGACATTTGGAGTACAAACAGACCTCCAGGTGGTGAGAACAAATCCACAATCAAAGTGTGTATGGGCTAGAATGAACATTTGGAGTACACACACCTTCAGGCGGTGAGAACAAATCCACAATCAAAGTGTGTCTGGGCCAGCAAACATGGGGTGAACCGTTTGAGATCCTATGTGCTCTTCACTGCCAGCCAGACCTGCCGAGAAGCTGAGCCTGGCATCTCCCACCTTCAGTGGAATCTGCTGATGCATTTTTATCCTGTGTGCACTTTGCCTAATACAAAGCTTAACTTAGAAAAGGCAGTTTAAGTGCTATGCAGATCAGAATCTTTGCTCAGTGAACACTGAATAGGAAGAGCTCCACTCTCAGCATGGAACAAACTTGGCATAAGATCAATATTTTGAAATGGCACACATGTTTATAACATGGATGTTTCAGCTCCAGTAAGCTCAGCATTGGAAGTACCATTGGTCACGTTGGCCAATAATCCAGAAATAGGACTTATATCTGTGACTTGGAACCCAGTCAGGGAACAAAGATGCTATGGGACCGGGCTGTCTCTAGGTCCTGGTTACACAAAGTCAGTGCAATGTGGGGACAGTCAGTGAACCAGCAGACAGAAAAGCCATGCCTGCAAGCTGTGGTCACCTGAGATCTAGTATGAGCAAGCTGCCCCTGAAGCCACAGCAAAGGAAACGAGGGCAGGCTCCAGCCTCACCCCTCCAGCCACCAGGACACTCCTGGGCACCTCAGCTGCTGGGATCTTCTACTTAACGTTTCAGAATTGGTCATGATTCCGGTGCTCTGTTCATTTTCTTTGGCTTTAGCCTCGCATGCTCCTCCCTTTTCAGACATTTTAATAGCAGCTGGTGTCTTTGAAACCTGGTGTCTGTTCGTTGTGTCTCTAGACCTCAGTGCATGTAGATGTGTCCCTAATGAAATTCCTTCTGTGACACACACGCACCAGGCCTAAGTTGCCCTTGATGCCAGTACCTTTGATGTGCTGTGTAACCAGCATCAAAAGCAGAGCAGGGACCGAGAACAGGTGACCTTTTGCCAGGTGAAAGCAGAGAGGCTCCCTGCCTGGCACAATGGGGTTCAGCCCTTCCACCCTCCCCAGTCTGAGGACACAGCCTCGGTACTACACCTCAGTACTACACCTCGGTACTACACCTCAGTACTACACCTCGGTACTACACCTCAGTACCACCCAGTGACCTTCTATGCTTGTTTTCGTGTAGTCCAACAAGGGCCAAGAGTTGAAGGCATGAGTTACACTGCTTTCCTCTCCCCGCCACCCAAACACAACAGGCTTTGCGCTTCCCACAGTGGGTCATGGCGGCCACGGCAACACCATCCAAGCCTAGCCCGCCCAGGTCTTGAGCCTAGCCTTGTCACCCGAGCCAGGCTGGCTGCAAGCAAACAGCCAGCAAAGGGCCACTGCCCACATCCTGACAGAGTTCGAGGGGCGAAGAGGAAGGGAGGCAGCGTGGAGAAAGCACAGGTGGACAATTGTTAATTTTATCAGCACTGCAATTAATTATGACGATTATTCCCGGAGCTGTACGGAGCTGAGATAGGGTTGGTTTGCCCTGCCTCCCACCCCTTTTAGGTTTGCTTCCAGATAAGTCTGCATGCACAGCCTTGTTTGCATTAATCATCCACATGCAGCCACATCCAGGCCTTGCACTCAGATGAGCAGCCCCTGACCCCTGAATACAAGATGGAATGGCTTCATACCCAATGTGGGCCCCAGACCTGTCTGGATCAGAACTTCCTGCTTTTGTATTTTGGATGTTGCAGAACACCCTCAGACTGTGGAGCTGAGGGCACTGCCCTCACCCTTCTCCAACCAGAGTTTGCTCTGAGTCCCATAGGACCCAAGGGAACATGGGACCCCCAGAACTTGTTAAGTATAGACAGTACTGGGAGATACAGAGAGTATCAATCCCTGTCTCTCCCGCTGTTCTCTTCTGTAACTCATGGAGCCTAGAATGTCTAATCACTGACCACCTACAGAGCCTATCCCTGGTGGCAGAAGGGTTTTTCCTTGCCTCCTGCTTGTTCTGACTGTGTAGGTCTGCACAAGCTCTCATACTATTCACTGTGCCTGGGGGACAGAACTTTCACATTTACAGACTCACTGGCAAGTCACTTATAATAGCCAAACCCAGAACTCTGTTTCCACTAGACTCTGGTCCTGGACTAGCAGTAGAACGTCCAATAAGGTCTCCAGGACACAGGGTTTCCATGGATGGTGACTTGTGGTTAAGAACCATGTCAGAGCTGGGTGGTGGTGGCGGCGGCGGCGGCGGCGGCGGCGGCGGCGGCGCACGCCTTTAATCCCAGCACTCGGGAGGCAGAGGCAGGCGGATCTTTGTGAGTTCGAGGCCAGCCTGG